AATCATCCAACTAACCAACTAACTAACAACCTAACTAACTAACTAACTTACTAACTAACTAACTAACTAACTTACTAACTAACTAACTAACTAACTTACTAACTCTCAGCCTCTCTGTCTCCCAAATTTGTTTAATTTTAGTTACTGTATGTGAAACTTATGTGAAGAGCTCAATTTATTGATTTTTATTGATTGGATAATGTTGACAACTAACTAACTGACTAACTAACTAACTAACTAACTAACTAACTAATCATCTAACCAACCAACTAACCAACTAACTAACTAACTAACTAACTAACTAACTAACTAACTAACTAACTAACTAACTAACTAACTAACTAACTAACTAACTAACTAACTGATCAACTGACTGTCTGCCTTCAGTCTTTTATTATGTGGGTCTCAATGTGTAATTTTAGCTATGTATGGATATTTGTATGTATGTGTTTGAGAGAAGTGCTGAGATTTATGTAATTGTGATATGTTAAGATCAATGTAAACTAGCTTCACTAAAACACATTAACTGTCTTTCATTATATTGATGTAAATGTGTGTGGCACAATGGCTTAGTGGTGTCGCACTCTGGCCTCACAGCAAGATGGTCGCTGTTTCGAGTCCCAGCTGGGTCAGTTGGTGTTTCTGTGTGGAGTTTGCATGTTCTCCCCGTGTTGGCATGGGTTCCCTCTGAGTGCTCCGTTTCCCCCACAGTCCAAACACATGAAATGTAGGGGAACTGATCAACTAAATTGGATTGAGTGTATGTGTGTGAATGAGTGTGTATGGGTGTTTCCCAGTACTTTGTTGCAGCTGGAAGGGCATCTGCTGCATAAAACATATGCTGGAATAGTTGGCGGTTCATTCCGCTGTGGGGATCCCTGATAAATAAAGGGGCTAAGCCAAAGGAAAATGAATGAATGAATGAATGATGTAAATGTGTAATTTTTGTCATAACAACAAATGTTTTCTTTTACTTCAACTTATTTTAATAAGTAGTATTCATTCATTCGTACATTCCTTAATTCGTTCATTTATTCATTCATGAATTTTCCGTCGGCTTAGTTTCAATATTATTGTTATTAAAATGTCATTTGATTAACTAAACAATTTAAGGCAGTAAGTTTTTTTACATTGTGTGTATGTGTGTGTGTGTGTGTATATATATATATATATATATATATATATATATATATGATGCTGAGATTATATGATTTTTGTGTTTTTTATCATTATTAATAATAACAATAATAAAATAACAATATCTGTTAAGTCACATTTTTGTAGCGCTTTAGCTGTTTCATTTCATTTTTGCAGGTTTTTATAGTGTAATGGATCATTTATCAGGAAAGATTAGACTAACAGTTTATCTGCTGTCAGTCTGATCAGTTACATTGATCTAATTTTCTTTTAAACACTCGAATGTGAGATTTATACTGTTTTTTATTTAAAGAATTCTATTTATTTTATCCAAAGTACAATAAAAACAGTAACATTTTATTTCTATTTATGAATGTGGTTTTCTATTTGAATGTACATAAACGACACTGAAGACATTTCTTTAATCAAACATTAAGCTTATATAATAAAATTGTATTATTATAATTTTAAAAATTATTTTATTAATATTTTTTAAATTTCCCAATTATTTATTTTTATTTATTATTATTATTATTATTATTATTATTATTATTAGTAGTAGTAGTAGTAGTAGTAGTAGTAGTAGAGGTAGTGATGGTAGTCATCGTCGTCGCAGTAGTTGTAGTAGTAGTAGTAGTCGTCGTAGTAATAGTCATAGTTGTCGTCATCATAGTTGTCGTCGTAGTAGTAGTTGTGGTCATAGTAGTCGTAGTAGTGGTTGTTGTAGTAGTAGTCGTCGTGGTAGTAATTGTAGTCAACAGCGTAGTAGTAGTCAGTTATCGTCATCATCGTTGTCGTCGTAGTAGTAGTAGTCATAGTCGTCGTCATGGTTGTAGTGGCAGTAATCGTCATTGTTGTTATAATAGTTGTCATAGTAGTAGTCAGTTATCTTCATCATCGTTGTCTTTGTAGTCATAGTCTTCGTCATTATGGTTGTAGTAGTAGTAATTGTCATTGTTGTTGTAATGGTTGTCGTAGTTGTCATAGTAGTAGTCAGTTATCGTCATCATCGTTGTCATAGTAGTAGTCATAGTCGTCGTCATTATGGTTGTAGAAGTAGTAATGGTCATTGTTGTTGTAATTGTTGTCGTAGTCGTTATCATCGTCGTAGTAGTAGTAGTCAGTTATCCTCATCATCGTTATAGTAGTAGTAGTAGTAGTAGGAATAGTCGTCAACATTATAGTTGTAGTAGTAGTAATCGTCACTGTTGTTGTAATGGTTGTCGTAGTCGTCATCGTCGTGGTAGTAGTAGTCGTCGTCATCATAGTTGTCGTCATAATTATTGTAGTATTATTCATCATAGTAATTGTAGTCATATTTGTAGTCATCATAGTTGTCGTAGTAGTTGTCGTCATAATAATAGTCGTTGTAGTGGTTGTTGTAGTAGTAGTCGTTGTCGTAATAGTTGTAGTCGTAGTAGTCATTGTCGTGGTAGTAGTTATAATAGTAGTAGTCGTCATCGTTGTCGTAGTAATAGTCGTTGTAGTGGTTGTTGTAGTAGTAGTAGTAATAGTAATCATCGTAGTAGTAGTAGTAGTAGTAGTAGTAGTCGTCGTCGTAGTAGTTGTGGTCATAGTCGTCATCGTAGTATTAGTGATGGCCTTAGTTGTCGTTGTCATAGTGGTAGTAATGATGATAATAACAATAATAATATCAGTGTAAACTGGACTCTTGATTTGTTCATTGTTTTAGAAGAGCTAGAGTCATTTTCTGCATAATCGAGTCACATTTTCTGTATCGCTTTATATAAGATGTACATTTATTTCTACTTTATACAATATTTTATTTTTCTGTATTGTTCTAGAGTGAGTATCAGACGCTGGTGTTCAGGACAGGTTTACTGATGTGTAGGACAGGTTTACGCTGATCTTTGAGTTTTCCGTCAGCTGACTGTGGTAATGCTCTGACCTTTGTGTTGCTCCTCTGGGGAATTTATAGATTGTTTTAATGTTTACTTGTGTTTTAGGTCTGTCTGTATATACAGTTGAAGATGCAGTTATTGACTGTCCTGTGTGAACATATTACTCCAGATATTTCCTAAGTTCAGGGATTTATTTTTGCACCCTTATTTCTACTTCTGGATAAAGTCTTATATGTGTAGTTTGGCTGGAATCAAACACAACACAATATAACATGCTTTAATATAATATAATATAATATAATATAATATAATATAATATAATATAATATAATATAATATAATATAATATAATATAATACAATATAACATGCTATAATATGCTTTAACATAATATAATATAATATAATATAATATAATATAATATAATATAATATAATATAATATAATATAATATAAAATAAT